AAAAAGCTGGAAGTGGCGCTGTGGCTCAAGTGGTAGAGTGCTAGCCTTGAGCTGAAGAGCTGAGGGACAGCGCCCAGACCCAGAATTCAGGCCCACAACTGGACCTAAAAAAAAAAAAAGAGAGAGACTTGCTATTTCATACAAGTAACATAAACTAATAAAAATTTTACAAAGGGGAAAAACAAAGGAGGAGGTAACAACACTCAATAGGAAGTGTACTCATTACCTTACTCATGTAACTGTAACCCCTCTGCACAGTATTTTTACAATAAAAAATTTACAAAGAAAAGTTGACTAGGTCATATGGGCATTATCTTGTGAATCAATAATTTATTCATTGATTAATGGATTAATAAGTTAATGAGTTATCTAAAGTGGGTCTATTAAAATAACCATTATGAGTCAGGTGCTGGTAGCTCATGTCTGTAATCCTAGCTACTCAGGAGATTGACATCTGACAATGGAGGTTCAAAGCCAGCCCTAGCAACAAAGTCCATGAGGCTCTTGTCTCCAATAAACTACTCAGAAAAAGCTGGAGGTGGCGCTGTGGCTCAAGTGATAGACCACTAGCCTTGAGCAGAAAAGAGGTTCAGGGACAGCACCCAGGCTCTGAGTTCCAGCCCCATAACCAACAATAAATAAATAAATGAATAAATAAATAACCAGGATGGTGTCTTTTGTATGTTTTCACTGTTTGATGCCCTGCATGCAGCCTGGGGACTCTGAATAGTCCCTACCCATAAGAAGGATGTTACCCGATGCAGCTCCTTTATGTTGGACCTCTCACATTCTTTATGAAGTATCTAGTCTGTTATAGTCAGTCACAGCAATCAAAAATGGACTAAGATATGTCTCATATTTCTCATCCATAAAACTGTAAAATAATTATTGTTTCAAAACTGGGAGAGAGCAACGGAATGGGAGGCATTGTTTAAAAGGAACTGTACTCATTACCTGACTTATGTAACTGTAACTCCTCTGTACAACATGTCTACAATAACAATTATATATATATATATATATATATACACACACACACACACACACACACACTTACTGTTTTAAGCTACTAGGTTTGTGGCAATGTATTACAGCAATGATAGAAAACTAATTTATCAAGTTTTTTTTAAACAGTGTCTCTCAAAGCACAATAGTTTTGAATTTACACTGATTCTAATATTTATCAATCTGTTATGTGCATCATTTATACCTTTTGTGTTGTAACTAAGAAATCATTGTTAGTTGGATTCCAGAATGGAGCTATAGGTGGCTTTGTGGATCCCTTCCCCAAAGAAATAGACATTTAACTAGTGGAAAACTATGAAACACCGAACAGTCTTAGGAAATTATTCTAATGGCATATGGGAAGTATAAAAATGTTCAGTGGTCTGAACAGTAGAAATCAGTATCATTTGGATCATGTGTTCCCACCCCCACTCTAACCACATGTTTTGGAAGCTGTACTACAGGCAGGTGTGGCCAAGAATAGGAGGAAATTCCCTTTTTCCTCAGCTCTTAATCAAGGCTTAAACTTTGCTTAAGGTTAGTTTAAGGTGTTACTCCACTAGGGGCAGGCCACCAGCATTTCTTATCCTCTCTAGGACCTTGGTATAGAAATGCTGTTCAGGCAGGTGGAATTTACTTCCTTCTGAGAGTGGAAAGTCATCATAAACAATGAAGCCACAGTCATCTTACCACATCATGAAGCATAAGCTCTGTGTCCAGATATGCAAGCAAAGAATATCAGGGATGTTACTTGCTCATGCCACAAGGGTCTCACTCTAGAAGAAATAGCCACTCAGCTTCAGGACAGTGAGAGGCAGGTCTTAAAGACAAAGTTCCAGCAGCTTTGCCTCAGGGACCTGCCTTTATTTGGAACAGAATGTGGAGAGTTTTAGGTCTAAGGATTGTCTAAAAAACAATGGAGATCTCAATGCACAATTAAGAAGTAACTGCCAGCTCCAGAATTTTAGTAAGAACTAATGAAATGGCCAAGTGGCCAGAAGTTTAACAGAACACCAACATCTGGAAGTCTGTGTGAACATGCACTCTCTCAGGAGTAATCTGAGTGGGAAAGGAGGCTGACTTGAAAGTTTTCTTCAAGCCACACACAGATCTAGCAGATCAAGGGACTTAAACACAACCTCCGATAAAAGCACTGGCGAAACAACAAGCTATTTCGACCCAGGCGTTGCTCCTAGGAATCCATGCCTAAAAAGAAAGCCACATTCATCCCTAGTGGTCTGGAACACTGTGTGCATGCCAGAGGCTGCACCCTCACAGAAAAAAAGAAAAAGAACATCTGGCTAAATGCAGACAAAATCATAAACACTCTGAACTGTGAAAACAAACTCCAAGCTACACACATAGTCAAAATAAGAAGTCAAAGCCTAACTGGCTATAGGGAATAAGCATAATCTTCAATGAATAAATAATTTGTGTGGCCCCAAGGGTGGCACCTAACAAGCTAGGCTAAAAGATTAAAAACAAAGATGAGCATAGACATCAGAGGCTGCACAGTGTAGTAGAAACAGACTTCATAGAATTAGTCCAGACAAGTCATCAAAAAAAATAATAATAAGTCCTAGAAATAGGACGTGGTGATGGTCATTGACTGAAATTTTTATACAACCTCAGGCCTTGGGTTCAATCTCCAACACCCTCAAAACTGCTAAAAGACAATCCTGCTATTCATATTGATCTGGTAAAGAATGTACCCATTATTTTAAATGTATAATCTTTTAATTGTAATACAGAAAAGAAACAGTAAAGTGTGACACATGCATAGAAAAAGAAGAGACTTTGACAAACAATCCCTTGAAGTAGCACAAAGATTACAAAGCAATTATTATCTGGTTGGATTTTGTTTTTTGTCTTTGTTCTTGTTTTTCCCAGTACAAAGGATTGAACCAGAGCCTTATACATCCTAGACAAATATTCTACCACTGTACTTCACCATCCCCCAGCCCAGCAGCTATTATAAAATGTTATAATACCATACTTAAGGAGTAGAAGGAATGTATGCTAACAAAACTCCATCAATAATAGAATGCCAGTAAAAGAAACAAATTATAAAGAAAACCAGATAGAATCCTGAAGTTGAAATATTCTGCCCAAATGAAATATTCAACGGAAGGACTAAAGGGTAGATTTGAGTTGACAGAAGAAAAAGCCAATGAACTTGAAGAGAAATTCATAAAGATTACACAAGAAAAGAAAATAGAGAAAAGAATAAAGCCTCAAAGAAATGCTGGATATCATTAGGCATCTAACATACACACTGGAAGTACCAAAAAGGGGGGAAAAGTGACTCAAAAATATGAGAAAAATCATGGCTAAAACAGAAACAGATGGTAGATACTCACCTTTTCTTTGGGCTCTGGGACAGGAGTTAAGCATTACTACAGCACTGTGAAACACTATTAAAGCACTGCTAATGATAATTATAAGTTCTTATTGTAAGCACCTTTTTGATGTTTATTTTTCCTTTATGTGTGCAGAGATGTTGGCAGCTAGGACAATTTGACTCCCTAATTGACAGCTCTTAGACCCTTCCCTGAGTGAGGCTCTGGCTGCCTTGAGTGAAGGCCTATCGGCCAAGAAGCTAGCCAGACTGCCCTCATGCCAACACCAGCTGCTTTGAACACTGCACAGACATACCAAGGAGGCTACACACTAAAAGCTTAACTCTGGCTCTGCACTGTTCCAGCAAACAGCTTGCACATTTATTTTTTGATACTATGTCTCAGTGAACTCTAGATGAGCGTGTATCTATTTCTACCCAAGCCAGACATTTCCTCTAGTAACCCAACAGAAGACCTGTGAGACATATTCCTTCATTTGCATAAGGGGCTTTCATGATTGGTGCAAAGTTCTTCATTCACAAAAGTGGCTGCCATGATTGGTGCAGACACAATCCTTCATTAGCATGAGGGCTGCCATAACTGGTGCAGGCCCCTTTTTCACATGTCCTTCTGACCATACAAAAACAGGCTGCTCAATTCACTTTATGAACAGCTTGGGAGAACCCGCCCTCTGCGCCCTGTGCTGCCTTGCTCTCCATACCCTATCACACTCCACTACTCTAAATATGTTGCAACATTACTTCTCAATAAAGACTTTCTCACTGGTTGCAGGTAGCTCACAGCTATAGTGCTAGTTACTCAGAAGGTTGAGATCTGAGGATTTAAGTTTGAAGCCAGCCAGGGCAGGAAAGTCCATGAGACTGATTTTCAATTAACCATCAAAAAGGCTAGAAGTGGAGCTGTGGCTCAATTGGTAAAGGAACGGCCGTGAGTGAAGAAGCTAAGGGACAGTGCCCAGGCCCTAAGTTCAAACCTGAGTAAACAAAAACTTAAAAAAATTAATAAAAAAACAAAGACTTTCTTTCAAATGGTCATACCTTTGCTGAGCTGGTAACACAAAGAAATAGTGGAAGGAAGATTAGCTTGGGCTGCACAGACAGCAAGGCCAGCAAGCAAGTCCTGTGGCAGCAGGGACCAGTGGCTCCTAGTGAGCAAGAACAAATAACAGTAGCATTGCCAGCATAAAGAATATGGAGCTGGCATCAGTGAAACTGGAAAGAGGTGAAACAGCTGAGGAGGGGACTGGCTTGTGGAGAAACCCCGCCTGCAGGTTCCTGATCAGGATACCAAGGATATGTAATGCTTAGAACCTTGGGCCAAATTTCTTGCCACTGCACTAGCTTTCAAAGTTCCAGTGTCAACTTCTGTTGTCTTCTCTCAAAAGCCAGAACTGGAGGCATGGCTTAAGTGGAAGAGTGCCAGCCATGAGCAAGAAAAGCCAAGATAGTGCTCTAAGCCCTGAGTTCAAGCCCCCCTTACCAGGACCAACAAAAGTAAAAGCAACCTTTGAAAGCCTCAGAGAATGGTTCTAAAGGCAATAGTAGCAAATAATAAAAAAGCATGTGTTTGGAGAAAAATCTATGATAATTGGCTTAGAAAGGCAAGTCAGTGATATCTCCCACACTACTCCCTCCTGTCCTTTCTACTCCCCTCATCTAGCTGCAGTCCAGACCACAAGGCTCCACCCCCAGCACCCAGCCCGGGGGTTTGCTTTCCCCCCAACCCCAGGAACAGGCTTTCCATAGTTCTCAGTTGCCCAACCAAGGCTGCCTATCCTGAGAAGTTCCTTGTGGGTGAAGTCAAAAGGTAGGAATCACTTATTGGCATGTGTTGCTGAGAATATCAAGGCTGCAAGGTCCTGTTCTGGACATTACCATCCCAGGAGAGGCAAACCAAGAGGACTGCAAGTTAATGACTCCTCTCTCCATCTAGCTAGCATTTAATTCCTATATCGGTAGTGTGTATGTCATCCAGAGAGAATTTGTCATTATCACCATCACAGTTCAAGCTTGAGTATTTTACCTGAGGGGAGAAACAGACTGGAAAGCTGACAGGTCCCAATCTTTTTCTAAAGGAGCTGACTTCATTCTGAAAACAGCAATGAGAAATGTAGACATGGAGAAATGCAGTCCGGAAATGGGTGGAAATTGAGCTAATGGAGACTGTAGACTGGCTGGGTTTGCAGGTAGGAATGAGGGAATAAGATAGCTGGGAGGAACCTTCTTAGGATTAGAAAAATAAATCAAATACTGCCTTGAATTATTTCTTGGAAAGAGCCACAGGATTATTTAAATAATTTTTTTAGAATTCATATCCCAAGGTACTACTGTAACAGTAAGACAATTGGCCTGCATTTGATGGTCAATTTGGTTGGTTTGATGGATTTGGTTAAGGATAGAAAGGATGACAGCCTTGATAATACCCCTGTCACCCAAAAGCTGTGTCTCCCCCAAGGAGCGATATTAGATACTTAACACTGTGGGTGAGTAGGGGCATAGTGTTCTCAAATAATACAGCCAAAAACCTGACATAGTGGCTCATTTCTACATTTGTAATTCTAGTTACTCTGGAGGAGATTAGGAGGACTGCAGTTCAAATCCAGCCCAGGCAAAAAAATTGTGGAACCCCCATCTTAGCCAATCAAAGCTAGGCATGGTTGGCATTCACCTATTATCCTGCCTATCAACTTTACAGTATTCCTTCCACATCCCAAAACCCTTACACAAAAGAGATTCCAACAGTATGGCCTTTCACCAATGTGCTACTGAGCTCCACGTAGGTCCGTGTATTTAAATAGATCTTCTGCAAATCTACATCACCCTGTTAGAGGAATTAGAGGCACCAATTTATACAAATGCCCCTCCTCAGAAAGACCATTGGAAACATATTATTCACATTATTCATGTGAATAAATTCTGATTCTGTGATGATGTAGATTGTCTACATGATAGTGAGTCACAAAGTGTTGATTATATTCCAAATATCCATGATTAGTCCCTTGGGGTCTTATAATACTTATTTTAAAAAAGCAACAAAAATTCTCAGATAGTACCTACAACACAGAGCCGTAATTCAGTTATGCTGTAATCAAACATTGGCAAAAATGCCTTCTGTAATGTTTTTACATGAGCTACTTTACAAAATTGAGACAACACGGCCATCTTTCAGTTTGTGCTACATCTTCTGAGGTATTACCATCCTCTACAGGGTTGAAAAAGGATTAAATGCAATAGAGCCTTTGGCTCAAGTCAGAAAAGAAAAAAAAATCAATGTCAAAGCAGTTACTGATTCTTCTCAGTAGAGGGCAGTGGTGGCAGGGAAGGCTGGAAGAGGGACATTAACTTTTGTTGTGTACCCACTAAGTGTTCAACTATAATGCTTAATGCTTGATAAGGAAGTATCTCTTATTTCCTGACAACAAACCTTGAAGGAAGCATCATTTGCCTCGAGGTTCAATAAACAATATAAACCTGGTGCCCTCCAATCAACTGTATACCCTGCTGCTTTCTGAGAACTATTTAATTCTTAGGTCACAGAACTGATGAGCTAAAGGAGGCAGGATCACCTAGGACAGAGAAGATCCTACATATTACTAAGTTTGAAAAGATTTGGGCTAACTAGAACAAGGGGAGGCATTTAAGAAGGATCACATATGAAAGTTATAAACTCTGGAGTCAGCAACAAAGTGGAAATCATATAGAAGTGGTTCAGAGAATTGGAAACCTGGCATATGGGAAAAAGCCAAAAGACCTGGAGGAAATTAGACTAGGATGCCTCACATTAGGAAGGTGCTCACAAATATTTTTGTTGTTGTTGTTTATGTACTGATCCTATGGCTTGAACTCTGGGCCTGGGCTGAGCCTGTCCCTGAGCTTTTTTTGCTCAAAGCTAACACTCTACTATTGGAGACACAGATCCACTTCTGGCTTTTTTAGTAGTTAACTGGAGGTAAGAGTCTACTAGACTTTCCCGTTTTGGCTATCTTTGAACTGTTATCCTTAGATCTCAGCCTCTTGAATGGCTAGGATTAACAGGCATGAGCCACCAGAGCCTAGCTCACATTTTGTTCAAAAGCCTAAATGTAAAAAAATCTGTCACAAAGAATCCGCATTTGTCTTTAACTATCTAAAAACAAGTTCATTTCTTTGTTTTGTTTTGTCCATCAGGAGGCTTGAACTCAGGGCCTGAACATTGTCCCTGAGCTTTTTTGCTCAAGGCTAGCACTCTACCACTTTGGACCACAGCTCCACTTCCAGTTTTCTGGTGGTTAATTGGAGATAAGAGTCTCTTTGTCTTTCTTACCTGGGCTGGATTCAAACCGAGATACTCAGATCTCAGGTCTGAGTAGCTAGGATTACAGGCGTGAGGCACCAGTGCCTGGCACAAATTCATTAAGAAGGCACAGACTGTTGAGTGGGTTTCCAAACTAGGCCCTAGACCAACCATTCAGAGATAGATTTTTAGAAATAATCTTATAAAACAGAGAGGAAGCTCTAGAAGAGAGAAGAACTCAAATCTGACAAGAGTTGCTTGGTGGGATTCTGTTGTGAAGGCAACTTCCTTAAGAACCCTTCCACCTCTAGGAAGCTCAAATTCGGAACTAAACAAAATTCCCAACAGGTTTTTAGCTGAATGAGATGCTTCACTCTTGTCAAATGAAGGTCTTAAAGCTTCCCAAGGAAGAAATGGCTTGTTCTCAACATTTAGGAGACCAAATGTTCAGACGATGCTACAACTGTCTAAGAAGTTGGCCACAGAATTTGTCCACAGGCTTCCTAAGAAATACAAGAAATTCTGAGACTGCCTCACCAGAGGGAGCCAATGCTGTTTCACTGGAATCTGTACATTGGATTAATACATTTGAAGGCTACAAATGTACCTTTTTGCTCAAGGAAATAAATAAACATGATTGAAAAATGTAAGCATTTCATTCAAGAATTCCCTAAGCTGGGTATATAGCTTAGTGGTAGAGTGTGTATGTAGTATGTGTAAAGCCCTGGGTTCAATCTTTAGGAAAAGAAGGAGGAAGAGGGGGTGGGGAGGGAGAAGGAGGGGGGGGGAAGAGCAGGAGGAGGAGGAGAGGAAGCTCTGAAATACATGCTGGAATACAGGCATGATACCAAATAAACCTAATGATACCAAATAAACCCTAATGATAGAATCCAAGAATATGAAATTATAGCCATAGCTGAATAAATAATTCAACCACTCAGTGTTTTCCCAATCCAATGTTATACACATTGGGTTCTTTTCAAGAGAACGGAGATACTCGGATGTCAGTTAGACAAAAATCACAGTTCGATCCAGATACATCCTCAGAGATGATTTACTCTGTAGTATAGGAGATGCCAGAGACCTCTACAATTGGTTTTATGACCACAGACATAGAGATGGAATGAGACCAAAGTGATACAAAGAGTGTAACATTAGAAATAGACCTTGAAGACTGTCTGAAGAGTTCATTGTAGAAAAGAGGAAGCAGATATTCCTGCAAAAGGAACAAACACACAAAGTCCACATCTTACTATTGTTGAGGAACACAGTTGAGTTGGTTGCAGCATAGGATAATGTGAGAAGTGAGGAATCAACTGCCAGGTGATCTTGCTAATTTTTGAGTCTCTCAAAAATTAGACTTTAAGCAAGCTTATCAACTGTGGAACCCCTAAAGAGCTTTACTGCCTGCCCCAGACTAGGCTGTGCCCTTGTAACAGAAATCTGATCATCTCTAATGTCTTGGGAATTATTAGAGGAAACAGTGTACTGCAACTAAATAACAGGAAAGCTTCTTGAAGATTCACACAACCCACTCAATATAACCCTTAAGTCATTGTCTTAGCCTCCTGCAGACAGTGATTCCAGGAATGAAATGATTGCTATACAGTTCCCCCACTGTAGTCCATATTCAGATCTACCTACTGTGAGACATTAACACTGAGAAACCAGAAAAGGAGCTATAAATGGCAGCTCCCTGGCCAATATCAACTCCTAAAGTCCTATATCTTTATTTCCAGCAGGAAGTATCCAAAGGACTCCTGCCAGGAGTTTTGACTGTTACACACCCTTCCTCAAGGAAAAGGAATTTGTGGGTAGCCTTCCTGTTAAAATGGTTCAAATTCCTCCTGCCTCTACTGCCTCTACTAGGGCAGTCCAAACTTGGAATTTATCTTGAGAGTAGATCTTCACTGGGCTCCAGTGGCTCACCTATAATCTATAATTGAAGCATAATCTAAAGATCATGCTTCAAAGCTCGTTAGGCAGGAAAGTCCATGAGATTCTTATCACCATAAACTACCAAAGAAAGCAAGAAGTTGTGACTCAAGTGATAGAGCACTAGCCTTGAGTAGTAGAAAGCTCAGGGACAGCATTTAGGCCCTGAGTTCAAGCCTGAGGACCAGCACACACAAAAAAGATAATCTTCATTGACCTCAATTGATAATAAAGAATATAAATGAAGAATCTTTATCTGTAATATTAATCATACTTCATCACCCTGAAACAAATTACCATAAAATGGAAATGATTGTTCAGTCATTTCCAAATGATTGGAAAATGGTAGATAGTAGTTACAATGTCGGGTTTCTTAAAGATATACCTATAAAAGAATGCGTTTTTATAGTTAATTAAGTTTTTCATTCTTTTTAACAAGACAACAAATTGGGGTGTCTGTCTATCTTTCTGTCTGTCTGTGTCTGTGTCTGTGTATCTGTGTGTGTCTATGTCAGTACTGGGTCTTAAAACTCAAAGCCTGGGTGCTGTGCTTTAGCCTTTGCTCAGGGATGGTTCTCTACCATGTGAGCCACACCAACATTTCTAGTTGTTTTTTTTGGGGGGGGTCTGGTCATGGGGCCTGAACTCTGGGCCTGGGCACTGTCCCTCAGCTCTTCAGCTCAAGGCTAGTGCTCTACCACTTGAGCCACAGCACCACTTCTGGCTTTTTTTCTTTTTGCTTATGTGGTGCTGAGGAATCGAACCCAGGGCCTCAGGCATGCAAGACAAGCTCTCTACCACTGAGCCACCTTCCCAGCCCCCATTTTTAATGGTTAGTTGGAGATAGGAGTCTCATAGACTTTTCTGCCCAGGCTGACTTCAAACTGCAGTCCTCAGATCTGTCTCCTGAGTAGCTATGATTACAAGGATGAGCCATTAACATTCAGCTGACAATTAATTGGTTTTTGTCAGACTATGAGGAAAGGACTGGATTCAGCCACTGTAGCTGAAATCATGTAAACATAGTCCAGGACACAGATGGACCCATGTTGGACCACAATTTTAGCCAACTATTGTTCTTTTTAGTCAATGATATGACAAAACAGCAGAATAATAGGACCTTTGTCTTCTAAAATATCATGCCTTAAATCCTAAGCTGTATTTCCTGGGGGAACAATAGAGGATTAGTATTTCTGTACTACCAAACAGAGTCAGTTTCTTGAAAGGGTGTCTGTATGACTACAGCAAAAGGGGCTAATGATACTCTATACATCAGTAATAGCTGAGTTTTATTGTCCGATTTTGGTTCATGTTTGTTTTTGCAATCATAGTCCTTTTCTTTAGCAATAGTGGCTGTATTGTTGACATCTCCTTGTCCCCTGTTCCTTCTGCCACCATGACACCGACAAATGCCACCAGGGAAATACAAAATCTCCCTTACCTATTTGACATCATGCCAAGTGCCTACTGTCCCAGCTTCACACTACCAATGCTTAGCTATTATTAACATGATCATTTCTTTTCTCTGATTGTTTCTTGAAAGTAGAAACCATGTCACTCAGGCTAAATTGGAAGATTTAGGTCAGCAGCATAGAGCTGTAGGAAGACTAGCCATTGGAATAAAACATATTCAGATTTGAAATTCCCTCCCCTGAGTAGCTATGGAAGTCACAAAAGTCCTGTGCATCTTATTCCCCTCATCTATAAAGTGGAGAAAAGACTGTCTGCCATCTAGGATGGCCCTAACATTATATCAAGGGCTTAGCATATTTCTTTAAATCAAAGTTATAGTTCCCTTCTTTTCTACTATGCCTATATCTGGAACTAAGCAAGTGTTGACTAAATTTTCACTAAAAATTGAGGAGAAACATTTTCGTGTGTGTGTGTGTGTGTGTGTGTGTGTGTGTGTGTGTGCGCACGCGCGCGCGCGCGCCCTGGGGCTTGAAGTCAGGGC